ACTTAACGCATCTTTCAAAAAATTGTTCAACATCACGTCGCAAAGATGGCCAGAAGTAAGCAGCCGAAAGCAAGTGCAACGTACGGTCGTGACCGATATGGCCTTCCTGATGTATTTCCATGATGAGCTTAAGACGCAAGCTGCAGTCTGGTATACACAATCTATTATCGCAGAAGAGAAAGCCATCGCAGAGGGTATAGGGAGACGAAAGACCTTCTGATGTATCCGCGAATATCTTACCAAAGAAAGGGTCCGATGCATATAAGTGAACAAAGGATCTGAAACCAGGAACTGTAGTATGCATAGTGGCAAAGACAAATGGCGGCGATTGAGAGCATCCGCAACTCGATTGGAGGTTCCCGAGGTATGCTTGATTACAAATGTGAATTGTTGGAGATATGCAATCCAAGACGCATGACGAGCAAACACCTTATGTTGTGTGCTGAGATGTTTCAACGCATCATGGTCCGTGTAGAGCACGAATTCACGATGAAAGAGATAATGACGCCAATGCTTGATAGCTTGGACAATGGTATAAAACTCAACGTCGTACGTGCTGTATCGGAGACGAGAATTAGACAATTTCTCGCTGAAGAATGCAATGGGGCGATGTTGCTGACTTAAAACCGCTCCAATACCAGTCTTTGAAGCCTCTGTATGTAATTCGAAGACCTCTGTGAAGTTAGGTAGTGCCAAGATTGGGGTGGAACACAGCTTTTGTTTGACAAGTTGAAATGCTTGTTCTGCTGCAGGAGTCCAAGAGAATTTGCCGTCTCTGATGCAGTCGGTAATGGGATCCATGAGACTACTAAATTGTTAGACGAATCTTCGATAGAATGACGCGAGACCATGGAATCTACGTGTTTCTGTAATTGTCGTTGGAGTAGGCCAGGAACAAATAGCTTCAACTTTACTGGAATCCACTAATAGACCTTTCGCAGAGACAATGTACCCCAAGAATTGAACCTCGTCAACACCGAAAGCACACTTTTTGCGGGTGGCGAAGAATTGATCACGCCTCAAAATCTTCAAGACGTCGCGTAAATGTGTCACATGAATTGTAGTGACGAACTAAAGATGAGAATGTCGTCGAAGTAGACCACCACAAACTTACCAATAAACGGACGTAAGACCTGGTTCATGATGCGCATAAAGGTACTTGGAGCGTTAGATAACCCGAACGGCATGACCAACCACTCGAATAAACCTTCAAGTGTCTTGAACGCTATTTTCCATTCGTCACCAAGGTTGATTCGTATCTGATGGTAACCACTGCGTAGATCAAGCTTGTAGAAGATTGACGCTGACCCAATCTGATCAAGCAAATCGTCGAGGTGTGGGATGGGAAAGCGATACCGGACTGTGATTTTATTAATGGCGCGACTATCGACACACATTCGCCAAGAGCCGTCTTTCTTAGGGATTAACAAGGCTGGAACCGCGCATGGACTCAAGCTCTCTTGTAAGAAACCTTTTGCCAGGAGTTCTTCTACTTGACGGCGTAGTTCTTCGTGTTCCGTTGGGCTCATTCGATAGTGTCACCGATTAGGCAAGGAAGCATCTGGTACTAGGTCAATGCGACGTTGTATATCACGTAAAGGTGATAAACCTGATGGGAGCTCTTCTGGGAAAATGTCAGAGAACTATGCATTGGTGTCGAGGAGTTGTGGTTGTGTGGACGGTGTCATAGGTGAGACTGGAGCGAGCACGAGCATCAAGACGATCCCGGATTCACGCATTAAGTTCTCGAAAGGAGCACGTTGGAGAAGCAGAATTTGTGTTGTTGATGGCGTTGCAGGCGTGAAGGAAGTGGCTATGGAGCTTGATGGAGACGGTTTCAACACAAAGTTGCGATTATTAAATCAAAAAGTATATGTGTTAAGAAATCCATCGTGAATGACGTGCCGGTCTGATTCCCACGGACGACCCAAGAGGAGATGGCAAGCATCTATCGGAGTGATATCACAATATGTTTTATCATGATAAGAATCACTGGTAGAAAAAGAAACCAATGTTCGCCGTGTGATTGTTAAGTCCTTGTCCTGTTGCACCCAAGCCAATTTGTACGTTGATGGGTGGGGTTCGTCTGGTAACGCAAGTTTCTTGACTGCGTCAACTGAGATGATGTTCTCTGAACTGCCAGAATCGATGATGAAGTGGCAGACTTTTCCGTTGATTGTACACTTGGAGTGAAAAAGATTGTTGCGTTGTGGATGTGCAGAGGTACTATGAGGCGCGAGGCATGATCTTCGTAACATTAGCGATGTTCCGGAATCAGCGCTGAGTTCCTCGACTTCATGCTGATCATTCTCGTCATAGATGGGGTCATCAAATTCCCCATTATGTTCGTCTAACAAAAGACCACAACAATCTCTGTTTGGACAAGCGGACTGACGGTGACCGTCTCGCCACAAGAAAAACAGCGAAAACCCCTTGGTCGAGTTTGTTTCTGTTGATCAACATGAACGATTTTTGTTTCTGTTTTGGTTGTTGTTGTGTTATTTGATGGAGTAGCTGATGTGGGACTGGGTCATGTCTGGCGGTTGGATCCCAATGACTGGAAGCCACCACGTGTTTGAGCTTCGATTGTTAGAGTCTGGTGATGCGCTTCCGAGATGGACTGAGGGCGAAAGAGGTTGAATGTGAACTGAATTTGTTGACGTAAACCTCTGATGAACCTCATGACCAATTGTTGTTCTGAATCTTGGATTTCAACGCGGTTGATCATTCGAAAAAATTTGGTTGCATATTCATCCACTGATCGCTGTCCTTGACGCAAGTTCTGTAACTTTTGGAACATCAATTGCTCATAGTTGTAAGGCAAGAAGTTCTTTTTCATCTCGCGTTTCAGCTTATCCCATGTTAGGATCTTAGTTTTCCCAAGACGAGTGCGAGTTGCTTTGTTTTGTGACCACCAAGCGGCTGCGCTATCTCGAAAACGTATTGCTAGCAAAGGAACACATCGATCAAACGGAATCTCTTTGGACTCGAGGATCTCTTCGACCGTTACAATCCAATCTAACAATTCTTCTGCAACTGTAGTACCCTTGAACTTTGGAATATCTAATTTAAAAGAAGATTTCCAAGTCTTTTTATCTGTTTCTTCATCCCAATCAGAGTCATGTGCAAAGTTGTTGCGATGTTGAAGTGGTGCGAAGGGATTGTCATCTTCGTCGGAATCGTTGTGGAGCAAAATTTGGTCATTGTGACGATGGCGCGGTGAATTGTGATGACGGCGACGGCGAGGTGACGGGCTGCAGCGGCGGCGAGAGGAGGTGGTGTTTTGCTGTTGTTGGGTTGTTAAAGCGGTGATTGCTGTGACAAGGTTTTAAACGAGGACTTGAAGGTCGGTGACGGATTGTTGAGTTACGAGGGAGTTATCCTCGGTTTGTGCCTGAGAACGGGTTTTTCGTACCATCGTCGCGGTTGAGAAAGTTTCGGAGCGTAGCAAAGCTCTGATACTAACCTGGCGCAGCGTATGATAGGGTGAACGGTCGATCTAAGAATTTAGGATTCTTCGAGACCTGTTTTTGGATCGATCAAGAGTTTCTTTCGATAGATTCTTGAGACCAACTTCATGTTTTGATGAATTGAATCAAATCTAAACAAGGTTTAAAGCAAAAGCTCTTCTATTAAATCAGACGTGCATAACAAGGAAGACAAAGCTCTGCTTATATACCTATCCGTTTGGACAATTCCCATAAAGATAAGGATATTATAAACCGTCATTCCAAATAAAAATCCAAACTAATAATGAAAAGAAAACAATGAAAGAAAAGAAAAACAGCAGTTAACGGATATTTGAATGCTTTAAGTTGGAGTCAGAAGTGATGATGCTGCTGCATCAGTTTTACATCCACTAGATCATAAAATCAAAATAATTTTGACCATTGGATTGAACTTTTTTTTTCCTATAAAAAATGATGATGTCATAGGTGGTTTGCTATTATATATAGATTATGTGTGCAGTACAGTGCTGGTATTATCTTCAATCAACTTGAACATCTGAAGCTAAGTATATGCAGCAACTATTGGTCCAAGTTACTTTTCCGGTTGCTCAAAGATTCTCCTAGTCTGCGAGTCCTCAATCTCAAAGTTGCTGTAACCTCTAAGTTTATATCCTTGACTCTCTTTAGGTCTGAAGCACTGTATGGTGTAATCTTAACTCTCTCTTTTTTTTTTGTTGTTGTTGTTGTGGTCTCAGAATCCACCCTTTGGGGAATACAAACAGATTAACTGGGACAATGAATGGAGCCTGATACCTAACTGTTTGATGAAGGCTCTTGAAACTTTCGAGTTTACAGGGTGCAAGGGAAGACCACAAGAGAGATTTCTTGATTTTTTTCTTTAAAATTGCTCTTTGCCTGAAATCTACATCAGTCGTGCACGAATCATGTGACTAATGCTGAAACTTGAAATATGATCTGATAGTCAGTCGTTTTAGAGTATGCATCTTAGCTCTGTTCTGTTAACTATGGGTGTTCGATTTGTATTGGAGTATGGATGTTAGGCTTGTTTTGTTGTCCAGGAATTAGTAAATGTGTAGAGTCCCTTGCGACTCAACCCTCGTATGAAGAGAGCTAACTCAGCTATGTCTTGTCTCTGTTACATGAATTCATTTCCTCTATCTCATACTTTTGTTGTCTTTTTCTGTACTCATTTCATCTCTTAATATCTCTGTAAATTATCATATTTTTGTTGGGCCAATTAGGTTTTAGATAGGCTTTCTTGGATTGTTTGGGTTAAAATTGAGCCTGTGAAGTGTAAACAGAATCAATGGCATGTTTCGTAAATTCTTGAACCGTTGACTGGTTTGCACGACAACGTGCGGGGATTAGTAGATAGCAAATACAACGGTCACGAATAATCTATCAGGCGTTCATCCAACGGTCACAAACACACACACACACAATTGACTACAAAAATAAGTTAATTGACGGCAAGGAGCATGTGCGTGTTACTGGTAGCCAAAGTCCAATAGAACAATTATGGATAAAAACCAAAAAGTCTATAAAGATTGTCAAGAAGATTCAGTTTCTTCTATCATTTAACAAAGATCAAAGAAGAATATAAACAGACCAAACATGTCTGTCGGAATAAACGCCAGGATGGTGGCGCTTGCGGTACACGCGCTCGCCGTAGTCGCCTCCGTGATGGTGTTGATTTGGTCAATAAGTTACAGAGGTGGATTTGCGTGGGAATCTACCAACAAGACCCTCATCTTCAATGTAACTTCTTCTCTATCTCTTTCTCTCGTTGATTGATTTCTCAAAGTTACTCGCATGATTTTGTTTCCATCTAACACAAAAAATAACATTAATATTTTTGACTGTGATGCTCAGAATTAATTCATTTTTATTTACAATTTTTGTTTTAATCATCTTTATCTAGCTTCATCCTGTTTTGACGCTCATCGGCTTAGTAATTCTGGGAGGCGAAGGTAACAAAACAATAAGAATTTTAACAAGAAAAACAAAAACAAAAGATTATATTTTCTTACTTTATGCAGTCTCAAATTGCGTTTTGTTTCTGTCAAAAAAATATCAGCAATTATAAGTTACAAATCGCTTCCGTTTGAGAAACGAGTTAACAAACCGATCCACCTTGTTCTCCACGCAACCGCCATTATTCTTGGAATTTTGGGAGTCTATGCGGCTTTCAAGCACCATAACGAGAAACACATCCCAAATCTCTATACCATCCATTCTTGGGTTGGTATTAGTGTCATTGTCCTTTACTCTCTCCAGGTACATTATTTAAAGAATCTTTTACAAAGAACAATCTTTTGAATCCAAGTAAAAGAAGTTTTTTTTTTATAAAAAACTTTGCAGTGGCTGTATAGCTTTATTGTCTACTTCTTCCCAGGAGGATCATCAACTCTCAGAAGGGACTTACTTCCGTGGCACGTTTTCCTCGGTGTCTTTGTGTATGTTCTTGCAGTTGGAAACTCGGTTTTAGGGTTTCTTGAAAAGCTTACTTTCTTGGAAAAGTCAGGGCTCGACAAGTTTGGATCAGAAGCGTTCCTTGTCAACTTCATGGCTATTATCACTATTCTGTTTGGTACTTTCGTGCTACTCATTGTTTACTCCAATAAGAAGACTCCTTCGATTGAAGAAGATAACTATAGCTACTCAGCTATATGACTATTCAGTTTTACTTTCCTTTGAAGTTTCTTTGTTGTAAACCTAATAACGCCCCTTTATTATGTCAGAAATTTTCTAGTAATCGTCAACAAACTTTAATTTCTTTGATAAATAATATTTTCTTGTAGTTTCATTAATATCTACTCAATTAAAATATAATCATTCTTTTTATCTACTAATATAAATTATCATTTAAATTTAGACCATTTCTAAAGTGTTACAAATGATACAAGCCATATAGTTAACTGAATCGCATTACTTAAATTAAACCAGTGATTATTTATGAAATATAGTTTTGGGCTTACTTTGGTTTTTATGACAAATTATATGGTTTGAGTTTTGGGCTTAGTCTTAAGGAAAAACTCCAAAAAACATTAAATAAACTTTCCACCCTAATAGATCAAAAATCAATTATTATTTTCAGGCCCAAAAATATTTAATATTTTTAACAAAACACATTGTCTATTATTAATCATTTATTTAAATTATGCACTTTAAAACATGTTAATGTATTTTTTTATTTTAAATAACAATCACTTTGTTTTGATAAATTTCAATGGTAACTTTTAAATAATTTAATGCTTTATTTTTCTTAGATATTTAATGATTAAAAAAGTAAATGTAAAGCAAAACCAAAAACCAAATCTAAAAACTAAAATCAAAAACCAAAAAGCTGAAAACGCAGGTTATATTTTTTTGCTTTTGTTTATTTGCAAAATAAACTATTGCAAAACCAAAAACTAAATCTAAAAACTAAAATCCAAACCCAACTAACTGGGTTTGAACTGCTGGCTGAGTTTGAGCTGCTGACTGAGTTTCTGTCTCCAATGCTTGGGTGTCTGCTACTGGTTGAGAATCAGCTTCATCACCATCATCTCCACCCACTCTAGAATTCAAACTTGCTTCTCCATGTTGAACACTCCATCCTTCTGCTCCAATTACTATTACACCACGAAACTCCTCTTCAAACATGCATATCCATATTAAGTTCCTCTTTCCATACAAATCTTCTAATCCCAGGACACTCCTATAAATAGAAAAACACACACAAGTGAGTGATTTCAGAAAACAACTAACCATAACAGGTTAAGGTAAATACAATTAAGTTAATTAAACAACTAACCATGAAATAATCTAATAAGTGTATGAACTTTATGCTACTAACGATATCACGTCTGAATATTGTTAGCTCTACACATTAAATATTCTTTATCACGTCTGAAATTACAAGTGATGTCAACAACTACCATGACATGTTATTATCCTAATACTCTTGTTTAATCATAAACACACAAGTAAAAAGTGTGAACCTGCTTATACAAAATATATCAAGTAAAACCATTGTGAAGAGAAAACCTGACACACATGTTATTGCTGAACATAAATACACAGAAGTAAACCTGAAACTTGTTTACATGTCAAGTAAATCACAAAACATAAAAAATACACAGAAGAGAGTTAAGGAAAACTGACCTTTTCGCATTCATTCCACCAATCATCAGACATATCAATTCTTCCCAAGTTATCATGTCTAAGCCATGTCCTATTCTTAATTAACCTCCTAAACTTGGTGTATTTCTTCCTGCAGTTGTCGTATTTGTTCTTGAAAGGTTGATAAGCGACATATCCTCTGTTAAACCTCTCTTCAAACACCTCAATGATGTTTTGTTTTCCTATTTTATTCATAGATGTACTTGTCCTATTTCCCTTTCTTCTCTCTTCGGCATAAAGTTGGAAAAAAACCTAGTCTCCTCAGGGGACTAATTCTAAAGCACACAAAGAATAATCATGCTGAAAGACAAGACGACAGTCTCTATTAAATTTGTAAAACACAAACGCAAACGATAACAAGACCGCAATCTCTATCAGTTACAAACGCAAACAATAACAGACCAAACTTACATCTTTTGTCATCTTAAAATGATTGAGAGTGAGAGCTTGAGAGAGTCTGGGGCTAGAGAGCCTAATACCTGCAAACATCATATAAATAAGATTATATGTGAACATGATTTTCTATTGATAAACAAGAAAGACAAAGAGTATAGATTAGGTTCATACGAATTCAAATGATGACTGATTAGGTTAATTATTAGCTCATCAACACAACAAAAAAAAAGTCTCATGTAACATTAGATAATAAGTAAGAGGATTAGCTTTAAATCATCATGTAATCTCAAAATAAACTCCATCAGATAAAGCAAGTAAAAATCATCTACTCACCTTTTAGCTAGGTAAGGAACTTGAGAGGGTCTGAGCTTGAGAGGATCTGAGCATGAGTGAGTGAACTTGAGAGTGTGAGCTTCAGATAAAGACAGCTTGATACCTGGAAAAAAAAATCATGTAATAAGCACGAGAATAGCCAAGTATGTTTACTTGAGAAAAAGTAAGTAAACTTGAGATAAAGCAAATAAAAATCATCTTCATTACTTAGCTAGTTACTTAGAGTAGCTAAGTATGTTTACTTATTACTTGTGAACTTAAAGTAGTTAAGTAACAGAGAGTAGCCACGTTTGGAAGAAGAGTAAAACTCAAATACAAATGATGAAAGTGTCTACTAGTAATAGTAAGAGAAGTGAAGCAGAAACTAAACATGTTTCACTTCCTAACTTAAACCATTTCGGGAATGAAACTAAAACAAGTCTTGAGAAAAGAGTTCCTCTGTTTGATCTAAACCAGATATCTGTAAGCACCATCTTTTTGACCATGACTTACCAACAAATCCAGCATAGAACCCTATGTCCTCTTCCTTCTTTGCTATGTTGAAATCACCAATCTATGGGAAAAGAGAGGTGATGGGCAGAGCTGAAACGATGATCAACAACAAAAAAAGACTGATAAGTTAATGCAGATTTGACCAAACCATAGCTTCTTCAAGTCACAATTCGAAAAGAAACACTAATTTTAAAACCGGACTAGTCAAATCGATTTGAAAAGGAAATTGCACTTTCAAAGCAAAGGATATGTCCAGGAAATTTACCTCAAAGAGAGAGAGCTTGGAGATGGGTTTTCGGAGAAGAGAGAGAGCTCGACATGTGTTTTCAATGGAGAAGATAGAGAGAGCCACGTCGGAGAAGAGACAGCTCTGGGTTTTGTCGGAGAAGAGAAAGATCTGGTTTTCGTTGGAGAATAGAGACAGCTCGAGCTGCGGCAAAGAAGAGAGAGACCTGGGTTTTCGTCCGAGATCGAGAGCTCGAGAGAGAGATATGTCAGAGAATAGAGAGATCTGGGTTTTCGTCGGAGCTCGAGAGAGAGAGAGAGAGATACGTCGGAGATGCGTCTGAGACGAGAGAGAGACGTCGGAGATTTGAAGGTCTGCTTGCGTCAAATGGAGAAGAGAGCTGCGTCTGCAGCTAATAAACTTAGGTATTTTAGTGAATAATGAATTAGGTTAAGAGTAGAATTATAATTAGGTTAAGTAGACACAGGAATTACCCGAGCTACGCTGGTTTTTATCTGCGTCAGACGCAGATGTCGCGTCCAGCCGCAGCCGCATGTCCTCCACGTCAACGAAACGAACAAGATTTCACGGAAAACATAGCCGCAGCCGCAGGACTCGCGGCAACCAAACGAACACGCCTTATAGCTACTCAGCTATATGACTATTCAGTTTTACTTTCCTCTGAAGTTTCTTTGTTGTAAACCTAATAACGCCCCTTTCTTATGTCATAAATTTTCTAGTAACCGTCATCAAACTTTAATTTCTTTGATAAATAATATTTTCTTGTAGTTTCATTAATATCTACTCTATTAAAATAAAATCTTTCTTTTTATCTACTAATATAAATTGTCATTTAAATTTGGACCATTTCTAAAGTGTTACAAATAATACAAGCCATATAGTTATTGAATCACATTACTTAAATTAAACCGATGGTTATTTATGGAATATAGTTTTGTGCTTACTTTGGTTTTTAGGACAAATTATAAGGTTTGGTTTTTGGGCTTAGTATTAAGGAAAAACTCCAAAAAACATTGAGTAAACTTTCCACCCTAATAAATAAAAAAAAATTATTATTATTTTCACGCCCAAAGATATTTACTATTTTTAACAAAACAGATTGTCTATTATTAATCATTTATTTAAATCATGCACTTTAAAACATGTTAATGTATTTTTTATTTTAAATAACAATCACTTTGGTTTGATAAATTTCAATGGTAACTTTTAAATAATTTAATGTTTTATTTTACTTAGATAATTTAATGATTAAAAAATAGTAAATGTAAAGCAAAACCAAAAACCAAATCTAAAAACTAAAATCCAAAACCAAAAAGCTGAAAACGCAGGTTATATTTTTTGCTTTTGTTTATTTAGAAAATAAACTATTACAAAACCAAAAACCAAATCTAAAAATTAAAATCGAAAACCAACTAACTGGCTTGATCCAACCAATAAAATTTCTGTTGTCGAGGAAATGATAAAGTTATCTCTCTCTTTTTTTTTTACAATGATAAAGTTATCAAATGATAGAGTTAGTCAATAAAAGTTACTCCCTCCGTTTCAATTTATTTGTCATTCTAGATTTTTACACACAGATTAAGGAAACATTCAATTTTACACATTTTCAATATAAAAATACAATTACCAATACACCTAACCACTTTTCAACCAATAGAAAAATAGAATATCATATAAACCTAATAATTTCTGTCTCGAAACTCTAAAACAACACTTATTTTGAAACAAATTTTTTTCTCTAGAATGACATCTAATTCGAAACGGAGGGAGTAATAGATAAGCAATTTAAGTTAAAATAAATTGAAACAATTTAAGTTAATAAAAAAATTGAACTAGTTAAAATTAACAAAATATTATCATTGAATAGCATACTAAATTTGAATTTTACGTCATAAGAAGTTTTAAACACATAATATCAGTGAAATTAATTAAGAGAAATTTGGTTTAGGCAAAAACAACATACATTGTTCTCATGGGATAAACCCAACATAAAATTTTCCAATTAGGTTGATGGGAACAAAAACCCAATTTTTTTCTTATAAATAGTTATAATCTATTTATTTATTTTTTAAGAATAGATAAAAACTATTTATAAGGATTTGAGATTGACGGTCTCATATAGGTACTGTCATGTCTATGAGAGTTACTTTGCATCCGGATTCATATGGAGATGGATTACTCCGACTCAGGTTTATCCCACCGACTGGCCGGCTTTTACCTGCGAATTAATTTCGTGTAACTTTTAAGGAAGGAGGGTTTTTTGGATTTCAGCATCAGTCACATACCCAGGATTATGAACTTTTGCGCCAATTCTCTCGCTAAGGAGATAAGATGTAGTGGCACTCTTTTCTCCTATATAGATCAGATCTCGTCGGACTGAGCATCTACCCCTTAATCTTAGAAGATGGGTGTCAAAAAAAAAAATATAAGCTATTTAGATATTATATTTTAAATAAAGTAATTAAAATTAAAATAAACCCATGAAATATTTTTTGAAAACTTAAGTTTTAAAATATTATAATTTAGATAAATGAAATTAAATTAAAATAAATCCATAAAATGTTTTCAAAAATTAGATTTTTTGTTCAAAATTTTTATTTTTTCAAATATAGAAACAAAATATTTGTCAATATTTTCTAAATGCACTTCGCATATTTTCATAATTGTTATATATAATACATTTAACTTATCTTAACTCTATTTCTACAAATATTAAATTTTGACTCAATTGTAGATTGTTTATTCTATAAATTTTAGAGCGTTCAGTTAATCGTAAAATGTGGATTCCAATATATTTAGATTACTTATTCTAAGAAAAAATAGATTCATAAACAATACAAAACGTGGATTTAAATTTTCACCAAACCAAATTTTTAGTACGTAAAATCTGCAGTCCGTAAAACGATCAGAAATGTTTATTTAACAAGTTTTAGAATCCTAAGAAAATACCACTATATTGGTATAAATATTTGTTCTGTTGTTCCTAGTTTTCATAACTTCTTTTTGTTGGTAAAACTGTTTATTTTGATTTATTTTGAAAACTATAAAATATATTAAAGGCAATTATGATACAAAATTGATTTTTTTTTATACTGGGACAATGTTTGTGTTTGTTTGCCCAAAAAATAAGTTTTCCATTAGTTAATGAAGCTTACATGCTGTATTAATTCTCCTTTGGTCACGGACACATGAAGCAAATTCTTATGGCATGCTACTCATCTTTTTAATTCATCTAATCCATACCATTACTCACCAAAAATAACTCTCATCAAAAGCTTTCGGGATTTCATGACATGCTTAACTGAGTTTTAAGTTTTGAAAAAAAAAAAAAAAAGTTTCAGTTGTATCTCTTTTCCGTAACATAACAAACGAAAAAATGCAACCGAACCAGGTGGAAATGGATGAAGCTTTGGCAGCGTCTCTGCTGTATGATGATCCTGAATCGAGAATTTGTGATACAGTTACATTAAGGCAGATTCAACAGCAACAAGGTAAATCATTACTAAGATTTGTTGTAACGACTGTTTGATGTAATGACTATTTAGTGTGTTGCTTTTGATATATGCCGAATAAGTATAAATAACATAAAACTAAAACTATTTAAAATTTGAAAAAAATTGCTATAAGAAATAAAATAAGGGCTATAAAAAATAAATATAATTTAAAAATGTTAAAATTGATATGTTAAGATCTTTATGTGTTACTATTATAAACGATATTCTGAATAAATTTTAATTTAATAATTTATATACATATTTTTCATATCTATAAGTAAAAATTAAAATAATAGTTATGTACTAAATATTATATTTATTGTAGCCGAATCACAAAATACTTCTTTTTTTTTGAAACACAATAGCTGAATCACAATTATTTCTTCATTTATAATCTATATTATACAAGATTCTGATATAAGTTGCTATCCATCTAGTATGATAAGTCTATTCACAATTTCAAGAAATGTATTAAAACTTACAAATTCTTATAATGTCTAATTGATATTCTAAGCTACTTACTACCTATAGTATTTGTAAAAACGGTGTGAGTCTTTACGTGCGTATTCGTGTGTGCATGTGTGTATGCGTGTGCACATATGTACACACACATGTGCATGCGTGTGTGCTTATGTACCTATTCATGTGGCGTGTGTAATTAACACAACATATAAAATCAATCATACTTCACATGGCAGTCATCTCTTGGTCACCTTCAAAGTAATCGATGTTTCATGATCCTTATCCTACTTTCTGTCACATTAAAATATTATATTTTCACTTTAAGATTTTTATATAATAATTCTATATAATTATGGTATGTGATGCTTGTTATACAATTAGAATAACCTGTTGTGCTGCAAAATATATTCAAAGAAATTCACTTTAAACTCTGAGTTTGTGGTAATTTGTAATATAATTAATTAATTAATTCTTTCTTTTTCTTTCTTCCTTCTAAGCATATTTTGTATATGATAAACAAAAGTTGTATCACTTAACTTGATGTTCTTTTCATCAATATTTTCATCCTGTAGTGATGATTCCTCCGCTTAGGGTTTGTCCTCCTGAGTGTCCTCAACGACTTCTCTGTCCATACTGTCTTGTTCCGTATCCTCACGGCCATGACACTCTGCCATTTGTTTGCCTGTACTGTCTCGTTCCATATTTTCACGTCCAGTATTGCCCTCCGGTAGTAATAATGACTATGTCGTACCCGTTTGTTTGTTTTTAAGCTCTAAGAAGAAACACATTAATTTACCGGCAAAAGTTTCCTTTCTTATAATATGTTAGAGTAGAGAAGCATTTACTGCCCATAGCTATGGTAATAGCTCCACAGAAATGTATAGACGTAGTTTGTGGGATATAGGGTCAAGTAGTGGACACGGTGATTCCGTAAATATGACCGTGGAGGTAAACACAATGCAAACCGAAAATTTCATGCAGCTCCGATTTCATGATCTAATCTTAATATATGTATATATAGATCGATACCCCTGACTTTTGTTCTCTCGGTGAGCAGGTAGTGAGTGAGTTAGTAGAATCAGTAGGAGACGTCAATAGAGGATTACCTCTATCAAAAATCTCCCGATTGCCAACTCATAAGTACGGAGAAAAACCCAAATGCAGGTGGGGGTGGGAAAAGAAAAAGAAGTTTGTAGCAGATGATACGCAGTACGTTCATATCACTATATATTCTTCAACTTGTTTACATATATTTTACCACAACGTCTTTACATGTACAGCTTGTTGGTCCGCATTTCGTATACAACGTCTTTATATAAGAAATTGATAAATTTGGTTTAAATATATTACATATAAAAGTTCTGGTTTATACCATGCTTTAGTTTTAGTTGATTAAGTTTTGGGGTGACGTTGTAGGTGTTCGATATGCCTAGTTGACTATGAGAAGGGAGACAGAATAACCACTTTGACCCCTTGTAATCATATCTACCATATAGATTGCATTACAGAGTGGTTGAGAAAAAGCACGGTATGAACATAAATTTAGTTTAGATTTTCAATATTCCAGTATATACAAACATGTTACGTTGGCAGACCTGAAATTGAAATTTACATCCAAAAAGATATTCATATCTAAAAACTAATGCAATTATACATTATTGTTCATGCAGGTATGCTGTGTGTGCAAATTCAAGGTCATTTGTTAAGGTGCTAAATAGTAATTTATCAGCAGATAAAATCATGAAACTCATTGTCATCCATGGTGGAAATTCCTTTTTTTTCTTTTCTGTTTATCTATTTTTAATGTTTTAAATGTGTTCACTGAGTAACTATATACAGATTTGTTGAGCACATATGATATGAATATGTTAGAAATATAGCAAAACGTGTCAAATCAGACAAGTCAAAACTTTGAAACATAAAATACCAATGCAAGAAAAAATATACAGTAATATAATATAATTTACGGCATAGATAATTAAACGAGTTTCTATTTTTGTTGAATTAGAAAATTAAACGAATTAAAAGCATTGGTTTGACAAACTAATCACATCTACTACATTTTCTCTGAGAGAGCAAAAGATATCAGACTCTTTTCAAAACTCTTCAACCGTGTCTTACAAATAATACGGCATTGGCCTAGACCTCCTAATATGGGAGCCCCAAGTTATCAAATCTGTAACATCAATAAGGGTCTTTTCTATTATTTTTTTATTTATAAGCCTATTGTTTACGAAGATAATATTATTATAGAAATCATTATTATAAAGAAAATCAATACTAGTCTGCTCAACCAAGAATCCATTACGACCCAAAAATAAAATTTTAAAATTATTTAGAAACAGTAAAGACACTTGGTTTCTGTTAAATCATCAAAAATGGTACTTTACCCAATGTTTCCAAGCTGTGTCAAGATTGTATGTGTGATCATGTGTAGAAAAAGTAAGAGTCTACATGTTTTCTTATAGATCAACAAGATGAGTTCTCATACTTTAAATAACCAAAAAACTTCTACGAGCATGCAGAAGAATGGTAAACTTCCCTCCAACAGTTGCGTTCGAACCATTATAACTCCTTTTTGAAGACAAGTCTTTTTCTGAACAGAGATTGTTATTAAGGCTATTAGAGATGCTCGAGAATGGCAATCAGCGTTACTCCTACCAAGCCCACGTTCTGCTTTGCCAAAAGACTGCCAAAGGAGTGTTCCAGGCCACAAATCTAAGCGCAGGTGAATGCGAATGTGATTAACTGGTATGTTGATGCTGCATAGAATAGTGTTACTTCTTCAGGTAGCTTTAGGTAGTTTCAGATGGGTGTGCTTAGATCACACAGGTGCTACCCTGTTTCAGGGTTCTTCTTCACGCCGCTATGTTTCTTCGGCCTTTGTTGTAGAAGCATTGGCGCTAAAAATGGCTGTGCCAATTGCTGTTCAGGCGGGTATAAATAACTTGGTCTGTTTCTCAAAATCTAGAAGTTTTGAAAGGTTAATCCTCCAAGCTATCTCTGGACTTCTTTGGGATGAGTTTCCTGGCTGTGGTAATTTTGATGGTGGTGAAGCATGTTTAGGATTTTGTCCTGTGAAGTGCTGTGTTTTTGTTGCGGATTTTGCTGGCCTCCATAGTGGTTGTGTTCGATAGTAAGCTTCCTCTTCCCACTGAAAGATCTATGGCGGATTAATCTATGCTTCTCTCCAGTGTTTCAGGTACTAGGCTAGGGTTAATTAAACGGAGGAGAACTATTATGCGGAAGAGATCTGAAGTGCTCTGTTCCGGTCTCAATCTTCTTCCACTAGTGTTAATTAGTTTTTGTGAAGTAGATTTTACTTTGATTTAGTCTCCTAATTACCAGACCTCTTTGGGATTCCAATTTAAGTTTTTTTTTTCTTTTCAATTTATAATTATGAAATGGAAACTTTTGATCATAAACACTAAGACCAGGTCGATCTTTAAAATGTGAAAACCCAACAGAAGAATTGAAATCACTTTAACATTATAAAAACTACAGTAAAAACTCTGTAATTAATAATGTTGAGACTTTGATAATTTATTAATCTATAGAGTAGAGTTATCAATTTACAAAAACTTTTATTTTTAGATTTTTCTGTTTTAAAATATATTTTTTATAGAAAATAAGAAAAATCTTTGATTTTAGTGCATGAAGATTAATTAAATTTTTGAAATTCAACATTTATATTAGTTTTCTTAATTGTTTTGTGTATATAAAATATGACTCATAGAATTTAAATTTTGTTTTAGATATAAGTTTATTAAATCTCATCCAAATATATTAAGTGTTAAGAAATATAAAGATAATACTATTGTAAATATAAAATAAACAGTATAATAGTTGGTTTTTACTTATATAAAATGTATATAGATATAAATTATTAATTTATAATTTCAATAGGACTATATATTTACATAGGATTTTTTAAAAAAAAAAATATTTTTATCGATTGTGTCATATTTTGAACTGGTCCAACTTGGATTTTTTTTTCTATTGTGGATTTATTTTCAAAGCACTTAATAAAAGTTGCAGAAAAATTAATTTTTAAAAATAAAATATTTTCTTTTCTAATTTTTTTGCTGTAATTTTACTTTTTTTAAACTAAAACCTAATTATTTTATAAAAGATACTTTAAAAAGATAAAAAGCTACCCAAAGCATCTAGAACCACTGTCGATCAACCCCTTAATCTTGGGTAGCATTAAAACTAAGGTTCACGTTATAAGAATTTAAAACCCATCAAATCAGTAGAAATTAATGAACATTACATGCTCATTTAGTCACAAGAACATGACACAAATTCTACAGCGTGCTAATTACCTCTTTAATTGATCTAATTAATATCATTAATCACCAAAATAACTTCCCTAAAAATTCCAGGGTTCCATAAAATGGTTGAGTCAAGGGAATGATTATGGCCTGATTCCTTTTGAGTTCTTGAAAATCTTTCAGTTTGTATATTTTTCCTTTATATCATAAACTAGAATGCAGCCAAACCAGGTGGAAATTGATGCAGCTTTGGCAGCGTCTCTGCTGTATTATGATCCTGAATCGACAATTTACGACGAAGTTACTGCAAGGCAAATTCAGCAACGAGAAGAAGGTAAACCGTTTGTAAGGTTTGTTATAACGAACACACACATATATATATATATATATGGTGCTTTTTGTGTTCAGCTAACCTTGATTTAGTATAATCATTACAAACTTATATACAGGCTTTTATGGTTTCTTTAATTGCTGATTAAGAAATAATCAGTTATTAATTAATGTTTAAATTATTACACATATTGTCAAATTGCTAGACGATTGGTTATGACCATCTATTTTTGTTGTTACAAATTATATAGAAGCATCTTTAGTTTCTGATGAAAAGCTGGCAAGAGAATGGCAAGATATGGAAGGTAATTTTGTTATGCTAAATTAAAATTGCAGTTTATAAGTTAATGTCTCAGTTTGCTGGTGTTATTAAAAGAAGAGGTTTTCTCAAACCATCATTTTTTTTTAAAAAAAATTTAATCTTACCCAAAATGCTATTAAACTGAATACTACTTCCAGTCATTTGAAAGTACAATAACTGAAAATGTTGCTATAAAAATTATTTGAGATCTGTCTGTGTCATTATTTTGTTGATTTGTATCTCTATTTAATTTTTTATTCCTTACAAAATTTTGCCTAAATGTAGGCTATCCTCAAATTTCTCTAAGCGATGACGAAAAATATGCTAAAAGGTTGCAAGAAGAAGAATGTATGTTTTTCTTATCACTGTTTTAGATTATTTTATTTGTCGATTACAAGTTTTAAAATATAGGTTGGAGGTGTTGTACAATTGTATGTTTTGTTGTTGATGTATGTCTAATATGATCTGTATTATCCCAAGATTTGGAAAATCATGTTTCTCCAACGGACGACGTAATTCAAATTATCAATCAGTTCCAAGACATGGAAGGTATCAAACGCATCTCAACATTATGTATATTAGTTGTGAAGTAATGTTAAAATAGTAAATATAATAATAAAATATGTGTTACCAAAAAAAAAAATATATGCATTTGTTTTTACTTTGTAGTGAATCGTTCGATCTCCCTTCACTGTGGAAGTTCATCACATCAACAAAGTCATGTTGGGGGTTCCATAGATACTTCATCTTACAGTTTTCAGTCTCCTCCTCCTAGTGGTGATATTGATCCTGACAATATGACTTATGAGGTATTCAAAAATAATGACAATGTTACTAGAATTTTTTTAATAGTATATAACCGAATGATTTAGGAGATGTCATACTTCTGGTTAGGAACTAAATGAATTAGGACAATCAATTGGGACGGTCAACAAAGGATTGTCCAAGAGTAGAATCGATCAAATACCAACTCATAAGTTTGGCGCGACTTCGTGGTTTAGAAAGAAAGTTTCAAGCTCCGTAGAAACTGAGTAAGAACATTTTTATTGTTTTATTATTTCGTGTATGAAACTATGAATAGTTTATCTATATGAATTATCCGTCATTCTTTAATATTTTTTTTTCTCCTTCAGCATATTTTTATTTTTACAAAGAACAAATATATCATTAATCAAGACTATATTCTAAAGTCTCTGATAACTAATTTCATTTAAATAAAGCTGAGAACTAAAAGAAAATTAAGACCCGTTTTAGAAATAGATATTTTTTTTGCATCATTGGTTTTTTTTCCATGGTAAATATACAAGTTTGGTTTGGGATTCTTATTGGTTTGTATTGGTTTTGAGGATATTGAAGATGTTCGATATGTCTTATTGTATTCAAGAAAGGAGATACGATATCGACTTTGCCATGTGCTCATATCTATCATAAGGAATGCATTTCACATTGGTTAGAGGAAAACAAGGTATGAACATAATCAATTTTGACTATTTATCTAGATAAATCTATATGATTTATATTAAGTACTGGGAGATACTATTTAAATAACAAGAATTACATTTTTATATGTTATTGTTTTGTATATGCAGAATTGCTGCGTTTGCAAAGCTGAAGTTGGACTTATGATTTAGAACTGAGTGGGTAAAAAAAAGTAAAAAGTATTAAAGTTAATAACAATTGCTAGATTTGTTATTAGAAATAGTAAAAATGTAAATCAAATATATGTTGAAAATATAGAAAGCTATTTAATTAAAATTTTAATATTGAAATTTTTTTGTATTTCCGTATGTCGTTGAAGATATTTAATATGTTTGATAATTATACTTAACCTTCAAAATATAGATCATATCCTAATATGATGAGAATATGAGTTGAAGTAGGTGTTTGCATATGAAATTAGCATGATGCACTATAAAATCATCAATTTTCAGCATTTAAAACAGATAATAAACCGTATAAATCTCTAGACAAACATCAGATACCTATGATTAAAATGCTATGAAGAAAATACCAGTTCCCTAGCTATGAAATTAAGTAGGTGAAATCGTTTAAGAAATCAAAAATTAATATTGATTACTCTGACGAAGAAATGCAAAGTAGTTTACTTAATTGCTCACAAAATGTTTTAGGTGTTATTAAGTTTTAGGTTTAATTAGGCATGGGCGTTTCGAGCCTTCGGATCTGGTTCTTTGGGTAGATTCTTTTTGGCCATATATACCCAACTAGGTACTTGAATTTTTTTTGGCTCGGATTAATTTGGATTTATAATAAAAATACCTATAAAATAATCTATAATTTTCGAATTGGGTTAAGGTATTTAAGATCCAAAAAGACGCAAAACCAAAACTCCATCAAAAAATTTAGTCGAAATTCGTCATATTTTATCTAAAATTTTACAAAGTAACAGAAAATAAACATTGAATTTGATATTTAAAGTTTTTTATTACATAACATTGTTATAAAAATAAAAATGAGGATTGGTAACAAAAAGATATTTCAACTAAGTTATAATCTAAAAGATAGAAAACGGAACAAATGAAATCATAGTTTTAGATATTCACGTTTTGAGGTTGGGTATCAATTGTTTATTACCAGGTCGAGTCTAGGGTCGGTTCTTTTTGGGTCAATTTTTTTTTGTTTCGACTTTTTCGAGTATAGTAATTTTGGACCCATAGTTAGGTGTTTATAAATTTTTAGTTTGGTTTCAGTCAAATATTTTTGGGTTAGTTTCGATTTGGACTTTTCGGCCAGGATAAAAAGGCTTAGTCATAGTTTTAATAGTTTAGTTGTAGTTATTTTTGTGATTTTATTGTAGTAAAGTAGGACCATTTTCAAATACTCATCAATAGGATTAAAACAGAGTCTATTTTTATCTATTGTTAACAAGTCATATTAGGAACATCTAAAGAATTAGTTAATATGACATATTTTATTATTTACATTAATAATAAACTAACTATAAATCTGAATTTTCTATTTTAATTATAACTAAATCTGTTGATAAAGAATCCAACAAAATCCTACTAATCTTTTAAATGTTTTTATAAAATTACACACTAATTAATTTTCTATATATAATATAATACTATTATAAATTAATGTTAATTAAATATCTATTATACAACAAAAAAATAAAATATATCCTATTTTTATAAAGTTTATAAGTATATATTGTATTATATTAAAATAAAATTGCATGCTATATGAATTAAATATGACAAAATATATTAAATAGGTAAATTAACCTTTTTAAAAACAGTTCATTTAAATAAATATCACCCATCTTGAATATGTTTTAAAATTCGAAAACTAGATATTCTTTTTATACAAAAAAATTATTAACATAGGGTAAACATTTATATGTACAACTACATATTATCTTTTTATTTATTTTACCACTCTCAAAAATCTCTTATAAAATATATTAATTTATAATCTATTAATTTAGAATTCTATTTTTATATATTGATAGAAAATCTTACTTGGACCACCCTAAAGATTTAGTTGAGGTACTTGATTATTTAGATTAATGGTAAACCAACTATAATTTTGAATTTGATGTTTAACTGTAACAATTTTTGTTAACAAAGAATCTAACAAAATCCTACTAACTCTTTAAATATTTTTATAAAATTAATGCATAATTAATTTTTTAATTAGAAAAATAATATTAGAAATCAATGTTAATTACAAATTTATTATAAAAAAGGAAAATAAAAATTTATACTATTTTTTATATTTTTAACTTATATTATGTATTATATTAACATACAAGTTCTATATGATTTAAATATGAAAATGTATATTAAATAATTAAACTGATCTATTTTCATTTTAAAATATTTTCACTTAAATAAATTATCACTCATCATTAAAATGTGTTTAATTCGTAAACTATATAAAATTAACATATCTGAAACTGTTATATCTACAACTACATATTTTCTTTTTATTTATTTGAAATTCTCAACAATATTTTGTTTAAAAATAAACAAAATATAATAGTTTATAACTGACCTTTAGCTCATATACTATTTAACAATATGTTATTCTAAAATTATGAAATTTTAATAATTAATTTAAAATATTAATGAAAAACCAAATTTTAATTATAAATTTAAGATTTATATCAGTTATAAGAAAATCTGTTGAGAAATATATAAAAACTCTTATAAAAAATTATAATTACTTTTTATAAAATAATGTATTTCTGTAGTAAAAAATTCAAAAATCATATAATCTCCCAACTCAAAAATAGTTGTGTAATTTTCCAAATTGTTTTCGATAAAATATAAAATTTTAAAAATAAATTTTCAAGTTTTGAATGATAATATTTCAAATTTTCTAAAAACAGAATCATAGGGAAAAAAGAATAACTTCTACACGAAAAATAAACTAGTACTGTAAAACTTAAAGTAATCTTATATTTTGAAATCTTAATTTAATTACAAAAAATTTAATACCATAACATCCAAAAAATATTCTATATCAATAAAATTTACTAAATAATATGCTAAATGCTACTACTATGTATATAATTCACTAAAATAATGTGTCCATATTATTTAAACAAAAGAGTTTTACACAATATATAACACTTAAATAAAAGTTATATATTTAAAACATTTATAATAACATCAAAATATTATATTCATAAAATGAAAAATATGGTCAAAATCTAGTTAATCTGTACTATTAAAAGTAAAGACATCCTTGAAAAATCGACTGGTGAAGTTGTGTGCACCCTCATTAATGGCATTTTGGTAATTTATTTTTGCTCTTACATCTATATTAATCGATTTGTTACAAATCATATCACATATTGCATATACCCGAATTATTCTCTCTCTTCTCATTAATTACTCTAACCATATTTCATTTATATTTTATACATTTATATTACTCTCTAGGGAATATGAAATATGGTTAGAGTAATTAAATATGTGATATGATTTGTAACATTCGATATAGCAGCCATTGTCCTTTTGGTATATGCATAAATATGTGATATGATTTGTAACATTTGATATCATATGATTTGTAACTAATCATTTTTGTATATGCATCATATATCACTCTAACCATGATATGATGCTATATTTCATATATTAAGACTTTCATATAGTTGTCAAATTTGACATCCAAATATAATCATTTGATACATTTGGTTACTACACTATGTATTACATAATTCAAATATATATCAAACCCATTTTACTAGTATAGATATGGTCAGAGTAATTATATGTGATATGATTTGTTACATTCGATATAAAACATTGTCCTTTTTGTATATGCATAAATATGTGATATGAAGAGTAGCATTCGATATAAAACATTGTCCTTTTGAAAATATGTATATATGTGACATGATTTGTATGATATTATATTATTTGTAACATTCGATATCATATTATTTGTAACATTAGATCAATGAAATTGTGATTTCATTTGTAACTAATCCTTTTCGTATATGCATCATATAAGAAAACCATGATATGATGCTATATTATTAAAAATTAAGATTTTCATATAGTTGTCAGACCTGAGATCCAAATATAATCATTTGAAACATTTGGTTACTACACTTTATATTACATTTGACAATGGAGAATCCATTCTCGTGTCAATCATTATCTTTTTTTTTCTTCATATGAAATATCCAAGTCATGTGTTACTAAATTTACCCATATTTATAAACCATAGTTTTTTAAGTGATATAATGATATCAAATATCTCGATATATCATCATTCTATAAGTGACATTTAATGACGAGATATGTTTTCTTAAGAAAATATTGCAAATACTAAAATGAATAAATTACTTCATCTACAAGTTTATAAATTAACAATTAATAATATCGTGGTTAGTTATTTTTGGTTGGATTCCATATATTTCTGTAATTTACAGTAATTAGATTACTATTAACTGTTACACTTTCTAACTAATTCAAAATATATTCAAGAAATATTCCTTATTCCTTGAAAGAGGTATTTTTCAAAATTCTCTAAATATTATTCTCTACATTTGCGTAACCTAAAATGGTTTTCTAAGTCATATAGATATCAAATATGTCGATATATCATCATTCTATAAGTGACATTTAATGAATAGATACATTTTCTTAAGAAAATATTGCAAATACTAAAATGAATAAATTGATTCATCTACAACTTTATAGATTAACCAGCAATAATATCGTGGTTAGATATTTTTGGTTGGATTCCATATATTTCTGTAATTTACAAAAATTAGATTACTATTAACTGTTACACTTCCTAACTAATTCAAATTATATTCAAGAAATATTCCTTATTCCTTGAAAGAGATATTTTTCAAAATTCTCTAAATATTCTTCCTACATTTGCGTAACCTAAAATGGTTATCGTCCCTAGCTATTATAAATATAGTCTATCTTAACCACTATATTCATCATTCCTTGAAAAACCTAAAACAAAAATGGCGAATAATTTGCAGTTGTCTTTCTTGAGCGATATCAAACCAAGGAAAAATGCATGTCGCATCCAAGTCAAAATCCTTCATACATGGAAACATTCATGAAAGACATAGGCGAGACTTTGGAACTGATCATTTGTGATGCAAATGTAAGTTTATTGTTTTCATATATTT